GGGGGGGGGGGGTGCGCGTATAAAAGACAGACCCAAAATACTACTATAAAATAGTGTATAGTGTCATGGGAAACCTGGTTTGTTTTTTTGTTGTTTTCAGTGTTCACAAAGGGTGAGAGAGAAAGGACCAAACCTAAGCTTTTCTAGCTGAAACAATGTGTTGGTGTTTTTCCCCTTTCTGTTTTTTAATTCTTCTCCTGTAACTTGCCTTTCAAAACATTTTGTGGTCTGAGCTTTCAAGCCTAGAATGCAAGGGCCCAGTGGTAAGGAATGTGAGCGTTGTCCCCAATGCACTGTCATTTGACTGGTCTGTCTGCTCCATTATTCTGGGGAACAACGTTGTTCTCAGAATTAGACTAGATTTTATATTAAATTGATTTATATTTCTCTTACATTAAAGGTACTTTTAAATTATTCAACTGTATATTGATAGAAATATTGGGGCAGATTTTTCTAAAAATGCTTACCTTGTATTTTCTCTAAACAATGGTAGTTTTTTTCCAGATATAAAAAATTATATTCTTAATTATAGCAGGTTGAATTTACCATTTATGTTTTATTGAGATTATCAAAAGTCCATTGAAATCAAATGAGAAATCTAAGGCATAACATTTTTTAGGACAGAATTTTTGCTTGGACACCATGAAATTCAGTCTCTTCATTTTACCAAAGATAAAACTGCATTCTAGAGAATTGTTAGTGTTTCATCTAGAGCCCCACAGCTTGTTGGTGGCCACCACTGTCAGCCCTGCATCATGTAAGAAGAGCTTACTGTGATATCCTAACAAGTTCATGTGTGTGTTGACTTTACCTTTTTGGAATCACGTCTCACCTATGAATATGACTTTTTAAGAAATATTGAATAGATTTTTGTTTTTTGGTACAACTTTGGAAATGTGTTTATGGAATTTTTATGTTAATCTTCACTACACGTGAGTAGTGCCATATACTTGCAAAATCAGCGAAAGCATAACAATTACATTTATAGGTAGAGTCTTCTCAATGAACTTTACGGGTCATCAGAATGAATAGAACATGGCTGTAGTGTAGTGGTAGAGGCTGGGCTAGAATCTTCTTTGTATGTTGAAATAAAGTGATGGAGTTGAACACTGCAATGCTAGATCTGCCTCCTTATGCCCTGTTTGGCCCTTTGGGGATTTGCGGCTAGAAGATGGGCTTCCACGGGGTGGGAATGTGAGGAGCGTGGAGCTCTGGGGCCATCCACAGACGCCTTACATTAGTTAACTTGCTCTCCTCTGGTTGCTGCTGCCTTGTTTCTAAAACTACACGTGCTTGTCGTTTGTTTCTGTTGCTGGCTTTGGCAGACTGAAGCACCCTGTCACGTGCCTCTAACCCTTGGTCCCTTTTTCTCACTCCAGACTTCCCTCCGGTGATCCTGGCTTCCGCACACCTGACATGTATGATTTGTTTGCCACCTGTGGCCTGGCAACAATTGTGAAACGGACACCTTGTCATAGGGCCTGACTGGAAGCCAGTATGAATCCATAGGGCTTTTCTTTTGTGTCCTGTTGCCCCCAGCAAGTCCCACTGCACACTGTCCCCATTGAAGCGAGATGATTGCAGGTGACAGGGGTGCGGATCACTGCTGCCTGTGGGTGTCCACATGCCCCTCGGGAAAGCCAGTTCGTCGTCTTCTTAGCCTATTCAGAATTTGTATGCACCTTCTTGGGGGACGGAGGGCTGGGGAGTGTCAGTGAGGTCCACACAGCCCCAGCTGTAAAAGTGATGCATCTGTCCCTATGCCAAAGGAAATACCCAGGTTATGTGACGACATTTCTCTGCCTCGCTGCAGGCACAAACTGGAGTTAATCAGTTCAGTCGTTGCAGCAGAAGAGCTTAACCCATGAGTCAAAGATTAGCTCACTTACATCCACTAGACTTGAGGATTTCTTTCACCTGCTGTGCAGGCAGAACAATATGTTTTCAAAGGTGGGGCCCCATTTTCTACTCAGTACCTTAGCCCTTTATTGGCGTGTGATTACCTCTTAGACATTTGTAATCACGCACATACAAGACTCCTTTAGCCAATGTTAGGATTTAATGAACAGTGCCATTGTCAGGTGCTCGGTCTGAGTGTATCCATTGGTTAGGTAGGCCCAGATTCCCAACCAAGTTTTAGCAAAACCTTCCAGTATATGGTGATGCTAATCTTGATGTAATTCCAGGCCACTGGGAGGCGTTCCCATCTTACCCACTAACTCCCGATAGAAAATGGAGTCATTGTCATTATCATGGTAGAATGTCAGAAACATTAACTTTGATCTTCAGCTATGACTATTTTACTTTAGCGCTTTTTGCGTGTTAAAAAATAAAGATATTAATAAATTGCACAATGTACTGTATTAACATATTTTAAGAATTGAGAATTTTTCCATTTTAATCTAATTCTATTTGAATGTCCAGATTTTTGTTTTGTTTGGAAATAGAAAACCTGTCAACATTAGATGTTGTCTGGTGCTGGGATTTTCCTAACACAGGTACATACTGCCTTATCTACCTTCCGGAGCTGGTTGACCACAGTGTCTGACCACTGTCCTGGGGCTCCCTGGACATAACCTCTGGCAGGAAGGTGATGTGGATGATAACTCGAGTCAGATGAACACACTTGCATATGTTTTGCAGTGTTCAACTGGGTCTTTGGAGAAGCCCAGAGCACTGCTACATCGGCCACTTTTTAATCCTCATTTGAGGAGTGTGGAAAAGAATAAAGCACTATGTATCAAACAGAGCACGGATACAAATGACAGATGAACTGAGAAGTTCAGGCCAAATTCCATCCACATTGCTTAGCTAGCGTTTCATTACAGAGGTGATCTTGAAAACAATTTACAAATCATATTCACATTTTAAATGTACTTTGCGAGATGACTGTTTCAGGGAAAGCTGTGTTTTATAATTCTATAAGCAGAAGTCATTTAAGTTTTTTAAAACGATTTTTCTCTTTTTTTTGAAGTATATGCATTATTATTCACTGGAAAATTTTGTAACCAGATGAGCAAAGCACTTCTATAAGCCATCAAATGAGCACGGAAATTGTATTATTGTATTGAACTCATTTTTATAGTGCTATTTGGCAAAACAGAATTATGCCTTCTCTTTGGGAAGGAGGTGTTATAAGTTAATAACCATTATCTACAATCTCAAAATAGGGACATGACTTAGAAAACTTGAAAGTAATATTGCTTTGACATCAGTGACCAGAAGGGTCTCTGGTCCCAAATGCCATCCTTACTGCTGTTCCTTCTATTATCCTCTTATCTGTAGATCCTCTGTGCCTTTAGTGGTGAGATGGTGTGGAGGAGAGAGACGGGGCCTGCGAAGCGAACAGGATGTGATGGCTCAGGGGAGCAAACGCAGCTTCCTACTCACAGGGAGTAGAGTGATTGCAAATTAGGAGTGGAGAACTCTGTTATACTGCACATGTTTTGACATCCAACATTTCTGAAATGTTAAGACACTCAGGATATATGTTAAACTATTGGCTTGTAAATGTTTCTTGGCAGTGTTTTATCTTTCTTAATGACATAAAATAATGGTGAGTATTACAATGGCTGATATCTTAGATTGGATGAAATACTTGAGCGGTTCTGTGTGCTATTACCACCAGAAAATAAAATTAACAGAGGCACAGGATGAGGAAAAGGGGCCAGAGGGGAATATTAAAGCAGCAGTTTTCCACCCTGGCTGCTGCGTATCAGAATTCACTAGGGAGGTTATAAAAATCCCACCACCTCTTGTCTCACAATGCAGCTAGACTAGAATGTGAGGGAGTGGGCCCAGTATTTTTTAAAAAGTTCTAGGTGATTTTAACGATCAAACAGAGTGAAGAAGTTCCATATTAAGGACACTGATGAGCTCAGGAAAGGAAACTTATCGCAAAGGAGTTCTTAATGATGGGGCACAATTCCTACCCCTAGTTGTGAGGATCACTTCCTGTTAAAGTGTCCTGGAAATCAGCAAGAACTAAACTAGTGTGTGGTTTGCTACTATCACTAGGTAACCATGGTGAAGCGAACAGGAGTTACTGAGGAGGAAGTTAATGAAACTTTGATCCTACTCAGTGGATTTGTTGTAAAAAATGTATCATTGGATCGCCTATAAGTATTTCATCAATATTGTACCCTTCAAGTGTATTGTGGTCTTTCTGAGCACAGAGGTCCGTATTTTTCTTCCCTTATGCCTTCATCACAACTAACACACTGTTTGGCACTATTTAACCAAAATACGGCACTACAATAAAAGTCTTTTCTCCAGGAGACTTAATCTTTCCTGGAAGGATTTGTTTTTCTACCCCTTTAATCACTCTTGCTGTTGTTTTTGAATTCTTTTCTAATTTCAAGGGCAGCAGCCAAAGCTGAATTGTACTCTTTGATGAAGGTCTAACTGAAATAAACCATTACAGTCCTGTGGTTCCCCGGCCCTTTTTTGTTTATTATTACAGCACAGCATTACTTCCTATTTTTATAAAACTGTATTTTATTTCTGGGGTTTATTCAGTCTCTTCTTCTTGAAAGCAACTTTGAGATTAGAGATTATGTCTGTTTCTACAACATCACAGCATCGTGCTCACATCTGTACTTAAGAGTCTTTTATATTGATTAATTATACGTGTGGTGTAACAGGCAAAAAGGAGACTGCAGTCTGAAGTGTGGGAGGAATGATAACTTGTGAACTTGCTTTGTAAACATAAAAACATTTGTTTTTAAAATACTCAGTCACTAAGTCATTTCTTTGATCAAAAGTCTGTTGTGGGTTCTGTAGCCTCAGAGAACAAACTCCTTTGCACACAGTCCTCCCTCTTTGATTTTGAACCTAACTCACCGCTTTCCTTTCTGCTCCTGGGCAGTCAGTCTCGTAGTTCACAGATACCGTCTGATCAGAACTACAGCATCCCGTGTGTAGGAATGCACACACAGCCTTCCTTCTCTAGAGAGGAAAAGTCGGAGAGCTACACTGTGAGTGATGAAGTTGAGATATTTTCTAAGTCCTAAATCTGGTCCTCAAATTATGGTTTCAATATTTGGTTTAAAATTGGGAATTCCCAGTATATCAGACATTTGTAATTTGAATATTATTATAAGAAAGTGTTACATAAACAGATAACTTTGGGGAATATTTATATGACTGCGCATTTGTTACTTTTGAGGTTAAGTAATCCAGTGCTAACCCAAATCTGAGCGTGATCTTTTATCCCTGAAATTCCTGAAGATTACATAGAAATCAGAGCATCAATTCACACATTTGAATAGAATAAAGTTCACTTTAAAATGGAGGGATTACAAGGTCACCTAACTGGTTTGTTAAGATGCCAAGTAGCTTGTGTTAATAGGCCTCACCCTGTGAACCACAGCCAAAAAACTGCCGGGAAAAGATTTTTAAATGAGAACGGAGACTAGAGGAATATTGAAAATGATTTACCTTTTAAATGCACCGGCTCTTGAGGAAATATTATCTCTTCATTCCTTTTCCAGAGAGGGTGGACCGATGGGGTATAAGTGGGGATCGGGAAAGTAGCTTTGGAAGTCTCGGGGATCAGCCCCAAGTCTTGGTTACGAGCCGCTCGCTCGTCTGTGCTTTGACTTGAGTTGTACGTGCTCTCCTGGGTGTCCCTGTTGAAATGGTTCCAGAGCCAGTCTCCTTGTCTCACGGACACGACCGCCTGTGACTCCTAAGGCCGAAGTCTCCCTAACATACCTGCTGTCATGTAAGCATGCCAATGCTAACAAGCACCCTTCCTGCTTCCGTACTACTTAACTCATTCAAACTAGGAATGCCCTTGACTTCTACAAGGGCCCGTCACTCCTGGGTTCTTCAACACAGACTATGTCGCAAATTGAGATACAGAGCAGGAAGCTTCAGCTTAGAGCAGACATTTGTATATTTTCAAGCCTTGGGCAGCTTCTCAACGTTTTGTTCTAAGAAAGTTTCTCTTTAATTTCTACTCAAAGAAAATTTAATCATATCTAGATCTTTTAGAAAGTATCAGAGCAAACAAAATGAACACTAATGAAATAATAAAACTTCCCCAGTTAGAGGGAAAGGCCAGTTGTGTTGCGTTTGTTTGATTTTTTTTTCCTTTCTTTTTAAAAGAGATCTCAGAGAACCCAGTAACTTCATTTCTGAGGCCCAGAAATGTGAAGTAACTTCTCCAGTGTAACACTACTATTTGTGACAGCAGCAGAGCTGGAGGAAGCCTTCAGTTATAGGATGTGCTTTATGTACTTTTTTAAATCTCTCAATTTTTATCTGAAACTAGATGGCAGGATATAGATAAATAAAATACCATCACCAAAAGTATATTTATTAAGATTCTTTTAGTTGCAAGTAGCAGAAACCAATTAGTAAACCTATCTAGCAAAAAAAAGGGTGGGGTGGGGTGAGGAGATTTGGGGAGGGAATTTAGAAAGGATCCTGGCATATTTCCCCGAATCCAAAGAAGAACTGAACAAATGGCCAAGCCTGGGAAAGGTCGGAACTAAGCCAAGGCCAAGGTCTTCAGTAGAATGAGCTCATGTGGCTTCTCTTTAGAGTGCAGTCATGACCTTGTCCTTTCAGTGATTTCTGGTGTGAGGAGTCCTTTAGGTTACAATTCCCAGTGCAGGGGCCAGTCAAGTGGCTTCTTGGTTAAGAGTTGGCTTGGGACGCCAGCTATGAGCAGCTGGGCCCCGGTTCGGATCCCACATATGAGGGCCAGTGACACTGCCCTCCACAGCTAAGATGCTGAACAACAGCTCAACCTGGAGCTGGGCTGCCGTGAGTTGCCGGTGATGATATAGGCTGCAGCCCCTGCTGTAGTGGGTTGCCATGGGCTACCGTGTGTAGCCAGCAGCCAGCGTGAGCGGCCAGCAGCCGCAGTGTGCAGCCGTCCAGAAGCCGGCGACCAATCTGCCTCGCCCGGGAAGAGCGCAATGATGGTGCCAACTTGGGCCAATGAAGCAACGTCCTCCACAACTAGACTGAAGAACAAAAGGACAGCAACTTGTCTGTTCCCCTTCCCCCAATTACCCAGTGCTGTTCCCATCCCCCAATTACCCAATAAAAATCTTTAAAAAAAAAAAAAGGAGTGAGAACTTGGACACTGAAATGGTACGGATGCAGATCCTAGACCTTTACGTTTCTCTGCAGTCTCCAGCTGTCTCTCCAGCATGTAGTAGTCGGACAGTTTTTAGCAACTTACCTTTATGTCAGATCTTACCAAAGCACTAAGTCTAGCTTTCCTAGAAGCATCTCCCTCACCATACTCATAACAAATGGGATTGTGTAGTAGGTCATCAAATTGCATAATTACTAACAGTAAAACTAGCATGAACAAGTTCTGGCATAGTTTGAACAGAAGTGTGTGGGACGCAAGAGTGACCCTGCCACCCACCCAGGTGTGGGGAGCCGTGGGCACCTGTCTATAGATTTGAAAGAGGGCAGCGGAGCGTCTGGGGAACCTGGGGATGTGCCGAGTGCGTCTGGTGTGCGATAGTGACTTACACGCCAGCCTTACCGTCCCTGACCAGCAGCCCTTGAAATGCGACCTGGAAACTGTGGGTAGAGTCCCCGAAACTCTTAAAGGGGTCTGTGAAATCAAAACGACTTTCATAATACCAAGCCTTTTTCACTCTGCTTTTCTAAACCTTTCTCAGTTGTAGTTTCCGATAGGGTAAAGATCGGTGGATGAACCCCACAGGAATGGAAGCTCTTTGGCGGTCCTAGCGCGTTTTTAGAGCATACGCCACAGACCTTTGTGGTGGGCTCTCCTAGACTCTGCACTACTTGAGGGCAGGACCCATGTCCATTTACCTTTGTGATCCCTGATGTGTTTTTGCGTTATCTTTTACATAAAAGGCACTCGGTAAATATCTGATACGTGTATGAGCCAAAAAATGGATTATTTTTCAAGTATTTATTTAGTCTTTCAGTCTGGGCCAACAAAATAGTTTCAAATGAGGGTTCCTGTAGTAATGAATATGCTGCATCATTAACAGGAGTGGTGTGCAAATGCTTTAAATAGTAAAATGTAATGTTTAATAGCTTTCCCCTGAAATCTTAAGCAATGTTTTGAAGAAGAAAAGAAGCATGGTTTAGTGGAAAGCATAGGACAGACAGCATGTTCCTGTGAGGCTTTAAAAGGTGTGCGAAGGCTTTAACTCTGACTTAGGGAGCTGTATCATAAATAAATTGGCTTTTTAACATTTATTTCAGAGGAGAATGAGAACAAATGAACAGAGATGTAGTGTTAAGAGCAGCCAATTAGTGGAACAATTTATTGCTGATGATTAAGACTTTTCCTTTCCCTTGAGAAGCATTTAGAAGTTAATTTAGGTTTGGGAAGGAGATATAATTGTCAGAAAACGGTGGTTTGGAAAGGGAATTTTATTGCTTTGTGTGAGTGACCGTAATTGAAGAAGAGTGATGAGAGTAGTGGGCCCAGGTGCTTTTGATGCTTTGTAAATCATTTCAGGTGCTGTATGGAGAATGTTGACAGCAGAAACCTTTAACCAAAAATTAAATTCCTGTCCACATGGAGTAGGCACTGCTAAGTAGGTGAGGAACAATCACAAAAGGCAGCTATTCTGGTATTCAACATTAATGAGCACATGGATCTACAAGAAAATGATTTTCAGGGACAGTATTCTAGATAGATGTATTTTGTTTTTTAAAAAGGATTAACATACATTTCAACAGTAGACTTTTTTCATGCCTTTAAGGCACTTTATACATTGAAATTTCTCTAAATCTTACTGTTGTTAAGACAAGAAATTTTCTAGGTAGAGCTTTCAGTTTCAGTGGAAGGCAAACTCAAATACAAGATTTGTTTTTGTTTGAAGAAAATTGAAATTTTAATCTTAATCTTATTAAATTCATTAATGAGAGGAAATTATTTTTGGGTATTTAAACTTAAATTTAATATAAAATAATTACGGATTTACTATGACTTCCTTCCTGGCATATTTTGGTCCAAGGCAGGCATGCTCCTCACCACTGCTCTTTCCATCACCGCTAGCGTGCACTGGAGATTGTTGGTGTGTTGCACTGAGGGACCTTGAATCATTGAATCACATAGTATTTTCACAGTTAGTACAAAAGGACTGCAGTGGGGAGTCCCCTGGATCTTGGAGATAAACGTAAGGTCACCCTATGAAGATTTGTGGTACAAATCGCGGAGACATGGTTCTGTCTGCACTGCGCATTATGGCTCATTTATCTGTCTCCCTGGTGAACTGCATGATTCCTGAAGACAGTACTGTATCTTAATCATCATGGATTCCACAGCGCCTGGACGGTGCCCTTCACACAGTAGGCATTTGGGTAACATTAGCGGAATGCTTCAGTCATACACTCTACAGAGATGAGCCATACGTGCATTGCTGATGAGCCAAAGGATTTCCTGAATCTCTTCTCAAAACCTGGGTGAACTCTCACAGAAATACGGCTGAGCCATAGCTGTCCCTAACCAGTCATGCATTTCTAGACTTCAGGAAAGATGGTGACACTGTGGTACAGTCATATGTATCATCAAATAAGATAAGGTCTGTCAGGTGACTTGACACAATGCTTGGTGCCTAGTAGGTCCGTAGTGCCAGGTGTGAGCTTCTGTGTTCCTTTTCTGTTTCTCTTGAATTCTGTGTCGTGGTCACCAAGAAAACTCTCTAATGGTAGCAAAATTGTCCTTGTGTTTGGACAATTATTCACAGCAGTTAAAGCTCTAGTATAGACACACCCAAATTTTTAATTCTGCTGAAAACAGAAGCCAGAGCAGCTGGCAGGCAGAACTGGTACACAGCAAAACCTAAACCATGCCCTGCCGAGCCGCACGGTGTTTTCTAGGCCAGCTGTTCTAGTCACAGTGTATTCTAGAATTTTATTTGCATATACAGAGGGGGCCAAAAAAATGTACACACATTTTAAGAAAGGAAAACACTGTATTAAAATTGTAATACTCAATATATACTGATAACAAAAGGTGAATACAAGTCATGTGTATACATTTGTTTGGCATCCCTGGTATATGTACGTGTACACACGCACACAGATGTATGTGTGTGTGTGTGTATATATCTTTGATTTAATGGTTTAGACTAGCTGTGTTTTCAGAAGTTACTTCTCTGTCAAAGATGCTGTCGCTTCTGTACCCTTCAAAAATGTTTTATTTGGTTTGATGCCCTTTTAAGCCACCCTCTGGAAAGAGCTCAGTGTACGAAAGCTGTTATCAGCAGGGGCTGCAGCTGCCCATTAAACAAACCTGACAGGAGCCCAGAATAAGGTTTTTCTCCATTCTGACCAATGCTACTACTATAAACTTAAAAATATCCCTTTGTTTCCTTGATTTTTATTATTATATTTTATTGTAATCATTATTACTGAGGTTAATGTGTCAAAATGCAATCTTGAAAATGATACATGTTATCCCTGAATACATTTGTTAACTTTTTTCTTTCCATTCTAGATAAGCATTCCTTGGAAGGAATAGTGGTACAGAGAGCTGAATGCCGACCTGCTGCCAGTGAAAACTACATGCGATTAAAGAGGTTGGTGGTTTTTACCTTTAAAATAATACCTGATGTTTCCTTTTGGGGATTGAAATACATACTTTAGATTGCCTATTGACCACAAACTATGGTTATTGTTGAAAGTGTTTTCTTCAAAGGCTGTTTGGTTTTAAAACCAAGTAAGAACAAACTTCCAGTTATGAAATAAATAAGTCACAGGGACGTATGTCTGCATGGTGACTCTAGTTAATAATACTGTATTGCATACTTGAAAGTTGCTAAAGGAGTAGTTCTTAAAAGTTCTCATCAGAAGAAAAACTAATTTTGTAACTATGTATGGTGACTAATGCTAACTCCCTTATTGTGGTGATGGTTTTGCAGTATGTATGATTATCGAATTGTTATATTGTATGCCTGAAACTACACCTATAAATGTAATGTTATGTGTCAATTATACTTCAATTTAAAAGTAAAAGCCCAATAAGAGTTTCTTTGGCAAGGGGACTTTCAGAACCTGGACTGTTTAATAGGGATATTTGAAGCTACTGTGTTAATATAACCTGGAATCAGATTTTTTAAACTTCTCTTTTTAGTTGACCTTATAAATCTTGATTCTCTAAAGATATGTAATAACATCTTTGTACTTTTTTTTTTTAAAGATTTTATTGGGGAATTGAAGGGAACAGCGTTGGGGAATTGGGGAAGGGGAACAGACAAGTTGCTGTCCTTTTGTTCTTCAGTCTAGTTGTACAGGGCGTCACTTCACTGGTCCATGTTGGTATTATCATTGTGCTCTTCCCAGGTGAGGCAGTCACTCACCGGCAATTGGACAGCGGCTCACGGCAGCTCACACTGGCTGCCGGCCACTCACCGTAGCTTATAGCAGCCCACTGCAGCCTACGCCATAGCCAGTGACTCACAGCAGCCCAGCTCCAGGTCGAGCTGTTGTTCACCATCTTAGCTGTAGAGGGTGCAGCATCACTGGCCCATGTGGGATCCGAACCGGGGCCCTGCTGCTCAGAGCTCGAGTTCCTAAGCCAACTCTTAACCAGCGAGTGAATCGGCTGGCCCCATCTTTGTACTATTTTATTTTCAAAAGCTATAATCTTCCCATAATGAATACCATACTATATAAAGTAAATATATTGCTAGAATATCATCCTTTTCTCTTGACCTATAGAGAGCTTTTTATAAACTTATTTGTTAGAGGTTTTGCTTCAGTCCCCCCTACCCCCCCAAACGCACACTTTTGTATATGGCTAACATTTTGTAATTAGTATTTAAAGATGATGACTGCAAAGTCCAGATACTCTAAATTTTATGATTTTCAGAGAGTCAGCAATTTTGCAAACCCTGAAGACATGTGTTATATTTGTTTTATAGTTTATATTGAACATATTTCAACCCCGCGTTGTTTAGAATTATAACTTTGTTTGTTTCAGCACTTACTGTGTGAAATAGCGGCAAACAAAACAGACAAAACCCCCTGTGCTCCTGGACTTGGATTTTAGTAGCGTGTAGCGATAGAGCTGGTCGTTGAGAGCACATTCAAGGGTGGCAGCAGCCTCCCTGGATTTCCATGTTCTCGACTCTGAAAGAGGCTACTGGACCATCTCTGAATTGCACATCATCTTTTTAATTTTTCCCCTTCTCTCAATTAGAGTCTGTCTCTTGGGAATGAAACAAAGAGACTGGTTTTCTTGTCCAATAATTCCTCTAATTTGAATACTTCCCCAGGGCAAGTAAAAGGATGACAACCAAAATGAAAAATTTTATAGCAGAAAATAACTTTGGAACCCAGGCTTCTCTCTGTGCTTTTAGCCTATACAGTTTGTTATATAATGCAAGTCTTTTTGAATTTTGTCTCCTTCACATAACTACTAAAATTGGGAAATGCCAAACCTGGTTACGGAGCTGCTTGCCAAGGTCTTTTCTGTGGTCTTAATGTTCTTTAAAGGTTTTCTGAAGATTTATGATGGTGAGCAGGCACATCACTTGTGTTTATGAAATGGCTGCTGCTTTCTTACCGAAACAGAAATTCAAATTGTTTAGCCTTTGAAGTATGCTAAGAGACCACCCATTGTGTATTTCAGTTACTTAGGGACTTAAGAAAACAGGGTGATTCAGGGGATGAGAATCCTCTGAGTCTGTAAAATAGACGATACGTGTCGTAAGTCTTGAAGGCTGAGGGTTTTTTGGCGAAGTGGAAAAGACTCTATGGAGAGGTGTGCGGGCAGGAAGAGCGGGCAGCATGGTAGGTTCTGCGTGCTGCTCTGCAAGCCTGGGGTGCAGGGCTGTTTGAGGCGGATCGAGCAGAGGCCCCAGCCCAGACCTCTGTTTGAACTCCGTATCCAAAAGCCCGGTTCCGTGTCCAGTAGACATTGTAAATACGTCAACAGTGGAACTCGCAGTCTTCCCCCCAACCCTGCCCCACCAGCTGCCTTCTCATGGAGGTTATGCCAACTCTGCACTACCCGTTTTCTCAGTCCAGAAACTTTGGCTCCATCCTTGACTCCCCTCTCAGACCCCACATCCAGAGTGTCAGAAAAATCTCACTGACTGTACCTTTAAAGTACGACACATGTACGTCTGACCATGTGTCACCACCCACATGACCTGCCCTGTCTCGCACCTGCATCACCGCAGTAGCCTCCTAGCTGAGTTCTGCTTCCACCGTGGTCCCACTGTGGTCTGTTGTCAGCACAGGAGCCAGAGCAGCCCTTTGCAGATCTGCCAGAGCATGCCACTCCCTGCTCGCATGTCACTGGCGATGCTTTCTATATGAGACAGAATAAAATCCCAAGTCCTGACAGTCATCTGCGGGTCCGACACAATCACCCTACGGCCCCCCTTCTCCCCATCCTCACCCCCACCCCTGCTTCTCCAACCACAGTGACCCCCTCAGAACACTCTGCCCTAGAGCACTCTGGGCACACCTCCGTCTTAGGGCCATGGTACCACGTGCTTTTCTTCCTGGAACGTGCTGTGTCCAGGTGACTGCATGGCTCCGCTCCTCACTCTTGCAAGTCTCTTCTCGGATTCTACTTGAAAAGGCGTAGGCCACCCTACTTCCTTCGTACTTGTATTTCCCTCATAGCACATGACACTTCCGAATATACGACATAATTTGTATTTATTGCCAGCTTTGCTGCAGTGCAGTTCAGGCTCCCATGCTTGGTTTTTGTTTTGTTTTATTGGTGTGTGTGCCTGTTTTGTGTACACACACACACACACACACACACACACACACACACAGCATCTAGAATAGTTCATTATATGTCGTAGGTAGTCAATGAATATTTGTTGAGTGAATGAGGGGCAGGAGATAAGGTTTGAAATGTTAGAGTCTTGTGTGCTTGTTAAATTACTTGTTGAAGAGTCTTATATGGTAAGAAGTTTGCACTTGTGTGTGCTGTAGCCATTAGGAAGGCGCTGAAGAATTTTAGGCTGGATGGAAGGTGAAGGGGTCGGTGGTGTAGATAAGTCGTTCTGGCCATAGTAGAAAGACTGAAAGCTGGAGATAAGCTAAGAGGCCGATGTAATAGCCCAGGGACAAAGTGCCCAAATCATCAAGTCAGCTGGTTCTTGTTAGAAGGAAGATGAGCTAGGTTTTGAGGCTATTTGGAGGGAGAATCAATGAACTTGATGAACTCATCTCACACCTCAGTAGCTGTGGACGGACTTCTCTAGGACCAGACAGATGACGGTCGCCTGGGTGCACTCGCTGCTGTGAACCCCCAGACTGGCTCCGTACCGTTCTGTGCATCATACAGGCTGTGTACACTACGATAGGGAAGTTCTTCTCGTTTCAGTATCCGTTTTAATTTAAGTTCTGGTTGACAATTTACATAAAAACAAAGAAGAAAGTACTTAAACTGCGAGAAGAGTCCCAAAGGGTGGATTATTAAAACAGGAAAGTAACCCAAGTCATGGTTGTATCGCATGTACTTAATCATTATTCAACATTTTCCAGTGCCTACTGTGATCACTAAGTAAGGCTCAATTAAAAAAAAAAATCAGTAGATACTGTTCTTGTGCCAGAGAGTTTAGTTTTTTTGTTTTGTTTTTTTAATTGGGGAATTGGGGGATGGGAAGAGCGCTGGGGAATTGGGGAAGGGGAACAGACAAGTTGCTGTCGTTTTTGTTCTTCAGTCTAGTTGTGGAGGACGTTGCTTCACTGGCCCAAGTTGGCACCATCATTGCGCTCTTCCCGGGTAAGGCAGACCAGTCGCCGGCTTCTGGACGGCCGCTCACTGCGGCTGCTGGCCGCTCACGCTGGCTGCTGGCTACACACGGTAGCTTATGGCAACCCACTGCCACAGGGGCTGCAGCCTACGCCATCGCCGGCAACTCATGGCAGCCCAGCTCCAGGTTGAGCTGTTGTTTCAGCATCTCAGCTGTGGAGGGCAGTGTCACTGGCCCTCATATGTGGGATCCGAACCAGGGCCCTCTGACGCCCCAAGCCAGTTCCTAACCAACGCGCCACTTGGCCGGCCCGAGAGTTTAGTTTTTGAACCTGAAGACACACACACATACACACGATTGTCTAAAAAAAAATTTACTGACAATATATTGGGGGTGGGGAACAGAAACGTGGTGGCAGATTTCCAGATGTGGGTGACATGAAAATAGAAGTGCTTGAGGACAGGATTGGCAGTTCAGTGCTTGGGATAGCCTCTACCTGGATGCTGCACACCTGTGCTCAGAGCTCGCAGGGCCTCTTCCTGACTGCCGACTCCTAATGGCATTCTCGTTTTTTTATAATCTGGCTCTTGTCTCACTTCCTGGCCTCATTTTGAGGTATTGTCCTTTATGTAGATGCCTGCTGGGTGTGACGCACTGGGAGTTTTCATCCTGGATGTGCTACGTGCTTTCACTCCTCACACCTCTGTGACATGCTGCGTCTGCTCCCTACGAGCTTTATCTACCTCTGGCAAGACCCTTCGGAGCCTTTAATAAGCCACCTGGCCGTCACTCACTCGGGGAAACCTCCTCATAGCGCCTACACCCCGCTCCAGTTAGGCCTGCATCTTAGCTGT